TGTCTCAGTTTCCTCATGTGTAAAATGGGAATAATAATAGCACCTACCTTCTTTTTGTGAGGCTCAAATAAGATAATTGTAAAGTGCTTATCACAGTGCCTGACACATAGTAGGTGCTATATAAATGATTTATTATTATTATTATTATTATTATTATTATTACTGACCTCTTGAGTTATTTATAAGAACTCCCTCTTGAAATTACTTTGTATTTGGTACTTATGTACGTGTTATATCTTGCAATATAGTGTAAGTTTCCTGAAGATAGTGTTTATTTTTGTCTTTGAATTCCCAGAGCCTAGCTCAATGTTTTGCATATAGTAGGTTCACAAGAAATGTTTGGGGGTTTTTTAATTTATTATTTATTTATTTATAACATTCTTTTTTTAATTTAAATTTTGAGTTCCAAATACTCTCCCTCCTTCTAGCCCTTCCCCAAGCCATTGAGAAGGCAAGCAATATGATATCAATTATACATGTGAAATGTAAAACAGATTTCTATATCAGAAATGTTGTAAAAAAAAATAATTAAAGCAAGAACAATTAAGAAAGTGAAAAAATTATACTTCAGTTTGCACTCAGATTGTTCTGTGAGTTCTCTGTCTGGAGGTAGATAACATTTTTTTATCCTGAGTCCTTTGGAACTATCCTGGATCCCTGTATCCATCACAGTAGCCAAGTCTTTCACAATTCATCATCACATAACAAATGTTTGTTGAATTTAAAAGGTGTAGAGGGAGAAGGAAGACATTCTTGGAGAGGGAAGACATTCTAAGCATAGGGATAATAAGTAAAAAAATAGAGATGGAATAGAAAAAGCCATGTTTGGGGGACAGTGAACAATTCAGGTTAGCTGGACCATGGGTCCAGCTTCATAACAAATAGTGTAATAGGCTTCACACCAAATAGGCTGAAATGGTAATGTAGGATCAGATTGTGGTAGGCCTTGAATGCCAGATAATTATTCCCATCAAAATGAGGGTTTTCCTTCAAAGCAAACTTCTTATAAAGCCATATATGTATTCCAATGATTCTATGATTGTTCAAACAGATTTTTTTCTTGGAAGTAGGTCTAATTTTACAGCCACACCAAAAAAAAGTTTCATTACTGTAAGCAACAGTAAGTCAGTCAATAAGCATCTATTAAGTGCCTACTACATGCCAGGCACCATGTTAAATGCTGGAAATCGTATCTTGTTTAGTTTTGTCGTTGTTTTTATTCCTTCCTTCTCTCCTATTTCCCCCAAAAAAAGAATGTGCTGCAAGTTCTAAATATCATTCCCAAGCCACTCGTGTTTGAGCAAAAACAGCCTCTTCATAATAAGTGAGTAGCTTTCCAAGGTGACCACTTTGAAGGGTACAACACTCATTCAGATGAACACATTTTTTACTGTCTTAGAGCTGAGATTCTCCCACTTTTTTATAACATGGACCCTTTTGGCAGTCTGGTGAAGCCTATGGACTCCTCAGAATAATGTTGTTAAATTACGTATAAGAACACAGAAAGAACACATAAGATTACAAAAGAAACTAATTATATTGAAACACAATGATAGAAATATCACTTTAGAAAAATCAAGTTAAGGACCTCTGCCTTAGAGCCTCACCTAGAGTTGCACATTTGAAGTTAGATGTTCTCGCATACAATTCCACATCGTGACTTCCCGCATCACAGTTTCAATAAATAGAGGATCAGCATAAGAAATTAAATGGGAATTTTGGGGGAGTTTTGTGGAAGCCATAGACAACACAGAAAAAGTTTAGAAACTCAGAAATGCATAAAATATATGCATAGTATTGTATAATATCAAAATTTTTTATATTTTAATACCATAATAATTCAGACTTCTTCTCAGGCACAAAGGGAGAGCCAAAAAATTTTACATGGGATTTTCCAGATCATGGAAGCACTGCACCCCTAAACTCTGCAATGTGGAAGGAATAACTTTGTACAATTACTTGGATTCCCTGTGGGATTCCTTTGTGAGTGGAAAGAAGGGAGGGAAGGAATTAGATGACTATATGATGAAATTATTCTGCTCTCTTTTGCAGGCAGAGACATAGCCAGATGTCTACAATGGAAGGCATGTTTGACTTAAGCTCAGAGGAGCTACTTGAATGGTTTTATGACAACGACAATTTTTCTGGATACAGTACAGACATCCCACCTTCATATGAGGATGCAGCCCCCTGCCACCTAAAGATCTCAGGCCTCAACAAGTACTTTGTCATCATAATATACATCCTCGTGTTCTTGCTGAGTTTGCTGGGAAATTCACTGGTGATGCTGGTCATCCTCTACAACCGGCTCAGCCGCTCAGTCACAGACATCTACCTACTCAACCTGGCCATAGCCGACCTGCTCTTTGCTCTGTCACTACCCCTTTGGGCTGCCTCCAAGGTGAAAGGCTGGATTTTTGGCACTCTTCTTTGCAAGGTTGTCTCCCTTCTGAAAGAGATCAACTTCTACAGCGGCATTCTGCTGCTGGCCTGCATCAGTGTAGACCGCTACCTAGCCATTGTCCATGCCACTAGGGCTTTGACTCAAAAGCGCCACTGGGTAAAGTTCATCTGCATGGGCATCTGGGTCCTGTCCTTGCTCCTATCCATGCCCATTCTTTTCTACCGTGAAGCAGTCAAAGTACACTATTATGGCTTTGTCTGTTATGAGAACTTTGGTAACAGTACTGAAAAATGGCGGCTGATACTGAGGATCCTTTCCCAGTTCTTTGGCTTTGTCCTGCCCCTGTTCATCATGCTCTTCTGCTACAGCTTCACCCTGCTCACCCTGTCTGTGGCGCACATGGGGCAGAAGCATCGGGCCATGCGAGTCATCTTTGCTGTAGTCCTTGTCTTCCTAATTTGCTGGCTGCCTTACAATCTGGTGCTGATCACTGACACCCTCATGAGGACCAAGATAATTCAGGACACTTGTCCACGAAGGAATGTGATTGAAAACGCCTTTAATACCACTGAGGTACTGGGCTTCTTCCATAGCTGCCTCAACCCCATTATCTATGCCTTCATCGGACATAAGTTTCGGTACAGCTTCCTCAAAATCCTGGCTGCCCATGGTATGGTCAGCAAAGAGTTCTTAGCCCAGCACAGCAAGCCTTCAGTCCATGGTTCCTCTTCTGGAAATACCTCTACCACTCTTTGAAGATCCCTCTGGTCCAGCTCTTCTGGGTCTCTCCCTGTCCTTCTTTGCCTTTCTCCTAACTGTCTCCAAAATTTCACTCTTGGTTGAGTTAGCTTCTCCTTTTTCATGGTTGCCCTCCACCATGTAGTATGGGGGGAAAGTGAGAATCCTATTAAAGGATACCATCTCAACCTCATAATCCAGGAATTACATCTACCACTACAATTACCTTGAACTGATGGGTTACAATTGCCATATTAACAGGACAGATGCTATTATTCAACCCCCTCAGCCCACAACATGATTTCCTGAGACTTTTTTAAAACCTAGATCCTACTTAGGGTAACTATGAGGGGATTCCACAGCAGAGAAGGGAAAATGAGAGGGGAGAACTGTCAGATTTAATAAATAGGTCTGTTTCCATGTAATCTCCTTATCTATCATCAGCGGAAACTAGATGGCTCAGTGGATAGAGCACTGGGCCTGGAGTCAGAAAGAACTGAGTTTAAATCTAGCTTCAGATGCACACTAGCTGTGTGACTGCGGACAAGTCACTTAACCTCTTCATGCATTGGAGAAGGAAATGGCAAACCACTCCAGTATCTTTGCCAAGAAAACCCCACATGGGGTCCCAAAAAGTGGGACATGATTGAAAGACTTTACGACAACCACCTTGTCTATCAGAGACCTGGAGCTGGGAGAGAGAAATTAGACATAAAGATGGACTTCTAGTCAGCCACCTGCAAAGATAGGCCTGCTCCCCATCCTCACTGTTGGGCTTGTTCTGCTGAAAATAAATCTTATCAGGAAATGTGTTCTTTAATTGTCCATCACCCCTTTTTTCTTGAACCCATAAGATCTTTGGTATAATAAGAGTCAGAGGCATAGAGTGAGGTTTAGGTACTGTGGAAGGCTAAAACAGGTACCAACCAAGATCAATTAGATGGGTGTGTGGTTAAGTTCTATGCTCTCTTGGGCTAGGCCAAGAGTTCCTTCCTGTTCTTACTGATGTGAAACTCAAATCTTCCACACCCACAAACACAAACACACAAACATTGTTAAAGGAATTGAAGGAAAAGATCTAGTGTGTGAAAAATACAAAAAAAAATTTTTTTAAGGTATGGAGAGACTTAAATGTAGTGATGCAAAGTGAGTTAGCAGAACCCCAATGTAAACTGAAAGAACCACAACAAAAAAATGGAAATTATATGAAATTATAATAACCAAGTTTGGTCCCAAAGTCGAGGCATGAGAACATACCTCCCTCCCTTCTTTGACAAGGAAGAGAACCATAGATATGAAACACTAAATCAACTATCAGATTTGTTTGGTGGGTTTATTAGTTTTGTTAAACTCGTTTTTTCCTCTTTTTTATTCTTTGCTATAAGAAATGGTTCTAGGAAAGGCCACAAAGGCAGAATATATTAATAAATGAAGATGATATTAAAATATATACATACTTATCAATGTTTTAAAGAGTGAGATCTAGTGGGGAAAAAAACAGAAAAAAGTATGTGCAATTCATTCAAGAGAAATGTCTTGAATGATGATTGGGCTCAAGTCTCTAAAGGATCATTGGCACGAAGAGCAGAACCAGCTGTTGGACATCTCCATTTTGGAAAGAACTAGAGAGAATAGACAGTAAACTGGGAGGGGGTTAGATTTTACGGAAGCAAGTCTTGGGAGCAAGAAGAATTTGATATCTTGTTCCCCAAGTTAGAGTTGTCAAATGTCTAGTCACATAATCCTCATCCCCTCTTTTTAATGAATTTTTATACAGGTGTATTTTCCCCAGCTGCTCTGAGAGACTGAAGAAACTTCAGGCAGGTGTATAATTTTAGCCTGGAGATGGTTCTGAAGGCTTAATCAGAGCAACTAACCATTCTTCCCACCTTAAACACTCACAAAGGGTATTTGATGGTCATCAAATTTTAGAACCTCAAGGAAACCCAAAAATCATTTAGTCTCTACTCAATTTTTTTATAATTGTACTTTATTTTAGCATTCATTTTTCAAAATTTTTAGTTCCAAATTTTCTCCCTCCCTCAAGCCACTCCTCCATCCATTGAGAAGGCAAGCAATATGATAACCATTATGTATGTGAAGTCATACATATTAGCCATACATATTAGCCATGTTGTATACATAAGAAAAAGAAAAAAGAAAAAGAAAGTAAGTGAAAAAGTATGGTTCGATCTGCATTCAGAGTTCATCAGTTCTCTCTCTGGAGATGGATAGCATTTTTCATCATGAATCCTTTGGAATATTCTTGCACCATTGTATTGATTAGAGTAGCTAAGTCTTTCACAGTTGATCATCAAGACAATATTGTTGTTACTATATATAATGTTGTCCTGGTTTTGCTCACTTCACTTTGTGTCAGTTCATATGTCTTCCTAGGTTTTTCTGAAATCTGGCTGCTCATCATTTCTTATAGAGCAATAGTTTTCCATCACAACCACATGTCACAACTTGTTCAGCCATTTCCCAATTAATGGGCATCCCTTCAATTTCCAATTCTCTGCCACCACAGAAAGAGCCACTATAATTATTTTTGTATGTATAGGTCCTTTCTCTTTTTCTTTGATCTATTCAGGATACAGACCTAGTGGTGGTATTGCTAAGTCAAAGGATATGCAAAGTTTTGTTGCTTTTTGGTCACAATTCCAAATTGTTGTCCAAGATGGTTGGTCAATCCATTAATCTGAAGGCAAACTGTGAATAAAAAATTCATGCACTTCTTTCTCCAAAATGAGAAGAGTGGACTGGGAAGAAATGGCTTTAAAAAGAATAATTGTCAATCACTAATAAAACCAGAGATGAAATGGATTAAGTATAGCCCTGGCTAAGGAGAGGTGGGTGAATTGGGATGATATGAGTATAGTCAGAACATTTTCTTAGATTCCATTCAGATCCTGAGACAACTTCCCTTCCCCTTTAACAAACTGTGGAAGCAACAGGGAGATAAGGAAGTCTTATCAGCACAGAATATGGAAGATTGACTAAGTTGGACTTGATGGGTACTGAGTCACTGTCTGATCTGACTACTCCTCTCTTCATCTTTCCCTTTCTCTCATTATATCATTCTCCTCAACAAGGTTCTCCCCCATGATCCTCCAGGAGATTTAGAGTTGATGGAATGACCATAATAATTCTTAAAAGTCTCTATCAAGCTCTTATCTGAACATGACCTTATGCAGGTGCTATACCTATAGAACTAGTGATACACAGTTCTGTTCCTCCCAAGTAACCTGATCTAAGATAAACATGGACAATGCCCTACACATTGGAGTGGAAAGAATCTTTAATTTATAGTCAATAGATCTGAATTCAAATCCAGGCTCTACCACTTACTATGTGACTTTGGAAAAGTCACTTAACATCTCTGCTCCTCAGTTTCCTCATCTATAAAATGGCATATTAGTACCCATTCTGCCTAATTCACAGGGATGTTGTAAGAAAAACTTATAAGCCTTCAAATGCTCAATAAAAATTAAGTCATGTCCCTTTGGACATCTTAGCTTCCTAGTTTATCAACCTCTAAAGGGAATTGAGCAATATCCTTGAGTGAATACTCATAAGGGTGGTCACTGAATTGCATTCAGACCCAATTAGTTCTTTCTCTGGAGAGGGATAGCATTTTTCGTCATGAGTCCTTTGGAATTGTCTTGAATCTTTGTATTGATAAGAGTAGCTAAGTCATTCACAACTGGTCATCGTACAGTATTGTTACTCTGTACAATTTTCTCCTGGTTCTGATCGCTTCATTTTGCATCAGTTCATATGTCTTTCCAGGTTTTTCTGAAATCACCCTGCTCATCATTTCTTATTGCACAGTAATATTCCATTTCAATCATATACCACAACTTGTTCAGCTATTTCCCAATTGATGGGCATCCCCTCAATTTCTAATTCTTTGCCACTTCAAAAAAAGCTGCTAAAAATAATTTTGTACACATGGGTCCTTTCTTTTTTTTTTAATCTCTTTGGGATATAGTGGTATTGCTGAATCAAAGAGCATGCAAAGTCAAATGTACCTTTCAAATATAATTACCCTCTCAAAGGTTACCCAAAGGTCAAGTCATTTAATCTAGATAATTTCAGTATTTCCATCAATTAAATTGGAATTAGTAGTGCCTATCTTAGAGGGAGGTTGTGAAGATCAAAAGAGAACATGTATGCATAATGGGAGAACTGGCTAATGAAGACCCAATGCATAAACAGGGGTGGGGAACCTGTGGCCCCAAGACCATATGTGGCCCTCTAGGTTTTCAAGTGTGGCCCTTTGACTGAATGAATCCAAACTTCACAGAACAAATCTCTTTGATAAAAGGGATTTGTTCTGTAAAACTCAGTCAGTCAAAACACTGCACCCAAGGACCTAGAAGGCCACATGTGTTCTCAAGGCCACAGATTCCCCACTCCTGGCTTAGAACATGCTTGGATTTACCCTTCCTGGTGAGTTATATATAGCATGCACAGTATCCCTGCCCAGTTCCAGCCCAAGATATGAAAGTTTAGTGAATATACTTCTAACCATAAGCGTCTAGGGAGCTGGTGTTGTTTGATAAGGAGTTTTCTGATTGGCTGAGAAGCCCTGGGACTGAGTTTGTATACCAAAGGATCTATATACCTTTCCCTTGGTCCTTTTGTTTTCTCTTCCCTGGAGGCTTTCAAATGCAAAATATTTCTCTGAGCTTCTAGGTAAGGGAAGAATTAGTGTCTGACTTATCTCACCACCAAGCCACCCTGTACCTGTAAACACTTGGCACCTGATCTTAGGTGAAAGAGTATCTGGAGAAAGAATTGCCCAGGTTCTGACCTTGTAAACTTTGATAAGTCAGAAGAGCCATAAGAGGTCCCCTTAAAATTGAAAGTTAATTCCTAGGAGAAGCTAGACCAGTTGAGCAGAAGAGTGATTTGTTGATTGCTGATGCTGCATCCAGAAATGAAGTTGGTGGGGATTCTGTTAAGAGATAAAAGGATTCCTGGGGTCAAGAATCTTTAGGTCAAGCCCTCAGTCCCACATGTTCCCCCATGTGTGCTTCCTCACCTTTGCACCTTAAATTTGTGTCTACTTTCCCCAGGGACAGAGTGTATACAAAGGGAAGAGTGTGTCCCTGGTTTGGGGAAATGTTTTTATAACTTCTATCTTTTCTATACTTTTTTAATAAATATTCTTATATAAAAACTAATTGACATCAACAGGTTGATTGATATTGAGGGAGCACACCAGATGGGGGCTCATAGATAACAGTACTAGAAAACCCAGACCCTAAGATTACCCCTAGAATACTATTCAACTGCCCTCTGGAGAATCAGAATGCCAGTAAGAATTAGGAGAGGGAGCCCAGACAGAGCACTACATATGTAAAGCACTTTGCAAAATCTAAAGCTATAAATAAATAACAGTTATTATTATGAACATGATTCATGTTTTAGTGTAGAGAACTGTTTGATCTATAAGCAATATCTTGGTTTCTGTTGTGCCTGGAACCTTTAATGCATAGTCCTAGATAGTAACCCCTC